AAAAAAATGTCACTTTCTGGCTTATAATAAAGTTTCAAATGCAACGTTTATATTCAAATTTGTTATGATCTACAACAGTTAGGTAGTAATTGAGACGAATTATAATTCAATTACCGACTACTACGTTCTTGTTTTAATAGATCCAAATTCAACAAATATAATTAGAAATTATTTTAATTGTAAGGAGCTCTCTTGTGGGACGCCTACGTACAATTACGGCGGAAATATGTACCTACCTGTGAAAAGACAAATTCGGGTAATTTGAGCTTATATTTCCACACACTTGACACTGTCGTATCATATTGAAAATTCTCAGATTCAAAAGTACGTTAAACAAAAACAAAAACTGCTGAAAAACACTGAAAAGTTCACTTCGGACTTGATTCCGACTTCAAACACACCGTAAGCTAAACGTAGTACGCTATAATGGACCATAATGGACCAAGGGCCTTCGCGAGGGGTGGTGGGACGGACGGCTCATTTTCGTTCTGGAAGACTAGCAGCGACGTTGCCAATAGTTCTAGACGTTTCAACACATTAAACAGTAAACATGTCCTTTAATAGTAACGCATATATCCTCTGGTTAATAACATATTATTACGCATGCTTCTTCAAAATAAACTATTAATTTTAATTAAGAAATTGAAGGATTTATTGATATCCGTGAAGGTTTTTAAATAAGGTTTTAAAGTCACCTTTCTGCAATCAAACTAAGATAGTCGCAAGATTGATATGTGGAAATGTTTTCATAGAAATACAAAATTTTCCATAGCAAAAGTTAGAGCGATTTGTTCAAAATGCCCAAGTTGAAAATGCATATGCATCAAACTCGAAATGGTAACAGATATTGATGTGTGCGGTTTTCTGCATCATGTTTTGATGAAATTGAGCTCCGGAACACCGATATCTGTTTTTCGTCTATCTCCTATAGAAAGGGGTGTTTCCATTTAAAAGCGTCGAATTTTAACAGAAAAATGTACACATCATGCGTTCAGCTTCACGCTTTAATTACGACTCGCGATACTTTATTTGTTTATCTATTAACGAGTCGTAATTTTCTTGCTAGGGAAAGGCGTACTGAAGAAATGTGGCAACGCCGAAACAGCACACCGTCGCATTTTTCTAACTCCGACTTAATAAGATCCCTATGCGATTTATTTCCACACATGTAAATTCCGACCCAAAAGTAAGAATTGCCAGCACGGTATGTAACTTTAAAGTTAAAGTTGTTAAAAAAATATTTTCAGTTTTTACAATTTTCCTTGCCAATTTCTTCATATTTTCTCACCACTTACACCTTAGCTTTCTACAAGTATTTCGAAAACCAAAACTAGCCAGATCAATTTGAAGCCTTTCTCGGGTTTTAGTGGGACTAACCAAAGTAATTTCATTTTTATACAGGATGGTCCGAACTGTATACTGTTTTTATGTACTTTAAAGAGGCTCTTTGAAAAGACATATACTGTCGAAAACGTCGTCACAAAAATAAAAAAAAATAATGAACAAAATCTAGAAACATCTTTGCAACCCCAACGACCTAAAGCCAAGAGTGAAACAAAATAAAAAAAGGTCGTATAAATGTATGTCCTAAAATGCTTTCGTTTCCGGTGTAGAAGTTTCATTTTACTTCAATTTTTTCCAAATAATTTCTGAAGTAACGTGAATATTTGGATGAAAATCGGTGTTTGGGAGTTTTTTGACTTGATAAATTTGATTTTGATGTCAAAATGACTTCTACTTGTAAGGGGAGCCACCTACATGTGTCTTAACTGTTTAGAAGAGAGATAACTTTTCATCCGTACCTGTATAAAACTAGTGAGTGAAAAAATATACATCCCCGTGATTTTTTATGTAAAAAATGTCTCTTGGTAAAAATCGCCACGCGCAACCGTTCGCAAGATATCTTGAATGGTATTAGTTAATACATGTCATTATTCACAAAGAAATAAACAATATGTTGAGTAGATAGTAGGGCATTCGATCCCGAAAGAAATTTTCAATCCCGGTATTTCGGGATTATAATTTTTCGATCCCGGGATCCCGGGATTGGTAGCGGGATTCACGAAAAAATTAATTACGTTGGAATTATATTATATTTTCTTTCTTTACAAAATTTTATTGAACAAAAAAAACATTAACATAAATTAAACGTCATCCCCATTACAAAACAACATAACATATAAGTTTATTTAACAAAAAAAACATAAAAGGAACTAAAATATACATTTTTTATTTAATTTACATAACCAATCGAATACAGCATAACACAGGATTACTAAGATACTAAAATAACAACTTATGCAGTAACAAGATGAGGAGGATCTAAAGTTGGTTTTGGTTTTGAAAAAAATTTCTTAAAAAAAACAAGCCGATCAAATATATTATCACTCAAAACTAGATCTTCATCATCTTCAAAACTTTCGATCAAACATTCAGGGTTGTTGCATAAGCGCATATTGTACTATCATGAAGAGACTTGTGCTACGATTTAAATTAAGGAAAAATGTAATGATGAATCCCGAAAATCAGGATTAAAGAAAATACAATCCAGGATTTCAGGATTGAAAAATATGTCAGGATCCAGGATCCCGGGAAACAGGATTACCGACAAAAAAATATGCACTAACGAACATTTCACAACACTTTAAACACAATCTCCGATCGCTGAATTTTAAAAGCTCGATACTATTAGAAATTGTGATTCATTTCTAGTAGATAGTTATTTGACTGAAATGATAAATTTGAGAACTTTTTATTTTTTTTAATTAATCATAAATTTTTCTTCGAAAAAATTATCATAAGAGTTTCCGTCGAACTTTTGGCACAAAAACATTTCAAATTTATGATTTTAGTCTAAAAGCTATTAGTCAATATATGTAATTTATGCCAATGATGACAGATATTGATAATTTCGATTCTAAATATCTCGAGAACTATTACTCGTAACGATTTTTGCCAAGAGACTTTTTTTTTATGTAAAAAACGTGGTAATTATAATAAATATAATAAAAAATAATTTATATTTTTTACTCGCTAGTATTATACAGGTACGTACGAGGGGTGTCTCACTATTGGAATTACATGTACATTTTCTTGGCAGTCGCTGGCAGTCATTGGCAGTCTTATGGCAGTCTCCTATAATAATTACATGGCAGTCATGGGCAGTCTTCTTCATAGTCACCGGCAGTCGCTTAGCAGTGGAAGGATATTTTGGCAGAAGCTTTTCAACATTTTCCGAAATGTCAAGAAAAAAATATAAAATTTTCAACATTTTTTTCGCAAAACACCCCTCGGGTACGTGTTTCTGGGGTTATTACTCTACTACCCAGTTAAAATATCTGTAGGTGGCGCCTGGGACACCCTGTATATTCTAAAGAACTGTTCGATCGCGTCAAATCGCCGCTGTCGTAGTCGCCGTGGAATGCTACGTCACGCGCTGACCAGCGCTCCACAGTGCGGCGGATGGTTATTCTAGCGGAACAAAATCTCAAGACCAATGTTTGGAACTTAAAATCTAAGAACGTAGCAAATGGTCTAATATAGCAACTATATGGTTAAATTTATTTATTTATTAACAACTTAATTTATTAATAAATAAATACAAGATAATAAAACTATGATATTATTCGTACATGACACACAAAAACCGTATTGTAAATTATGTCCAAATACATAAAATTATGATATCAAAAAACTCTTTAGCAGTGTTTTTTAATTAATTTGTAATCTTGTGACACCCTCTATAATTTATTTTAAAAAAATATATTTTATTTTAAAAATAATAAATAAGATAGATATTTTAATTTTAATTTTTTTTTGTAGTAACACTCGGTAATTGTAAATTCATATATAGTAAGTATCTAAGACAATTTTTTAAACTCAATGCCTTTTGATGGAGTTGTTTTGTTTTTATACTATCCGATTGAAATGAAACTTTTTGGGCATTCACCTGTTAAGCTTGAACTCCCTGTGACTGTGACTACGTGTGTTGGTAACTATTGGTAACTCAAAAGATCTACATCATTCAATATATCGATATTTGAAAAAAAGTGAAAGTTTGATATCTGCAGAACAAAGGCACGAAGAATTTTAACAAATAATATACGCACAGTAGAAAAGTACATACCTTTGGCAATCTTTGGAATAAAATGTATAAGCACTTGTAAATATTTTGTTTTCGTATGATCTCTGCCTTGCTGAGCAGAAAACGACCAAATTTGGTTGATAAAAATGTATCGAAATACGAAGAATATTCATGCATTTTTGTATCAATTGGAATGTCTATTCTAATAACTATTTATTCTTATCAGTACACATTTTTTGGGTTATTTCTAACCAAACGCTTTTGTCCCGCTAAATTTATCTTCCAACGCACTGTGCGCTCGTCCGTCAAATGGAAAAATAACTGTGACTGTCTAAAATCTTTAGCGCCAACTTCAACTCGGTCAGTAGATGACGTAAAAAAACTGACAGTGCAGGAAGACAGGAATCGAACTATCCTTATCTCTATATAGTATCCTTGGGTAGCGCCCATTACAAGTAGGAGTCATATTGACATGAAAATCAAATTTCTCATGTCAAAAAACTCCCAGACACCTATTTTCATCCAAATATTGACGTTACTTCAGAAATTATTTGAAAAAAATCGAAATAAAAATGAAATTTCTACAACCTGTATCTCCAAAACTAAACATTTTAGGACACACATTTATACGAACTTTTTTACTTATTTTATCTGCCGAAGCTTCCGGAATACAGTTTGGACCACCCTGTATACACAGATAAATGTTAAAGTAACTGTAAACTACCAAAACTAGTCATCTCTTTTTGTTTAAATATGTAACTTTTATCTCTTCTGTCTTTTCCTTTTATTTCGTCTGTGTCATATAAAACTTAAGTTTATATGTGAGTATAAAATATAAAATTTATATTATCTTAAAAAGTTTGTTATAGTTAAATACCTACTGAAACTTTTATAGTACCTTACACCAGATACTTACCTAAAATATTTTATTGTACTAAAAGGGAAATTAAATCCAGAGAAAAAGCATCGTAATTCAGATGTAGAGGAAACTTTTCAAAGTAGGTTCCGTTGTTCCTATGTTATGGTTAAATTATTCTTTATTTCCAGTAGCCCCTACAAAGAAAAAAAAATATAATCAAATTAAAATTCGTAGAAGTGCTCTAATTACTGGTGAATTTACTCAAAGACATCTAAATGGTTTGATACTTGTCTACATGGTTTGACACATTTATGAGAGTTAAAAAGAAATGGGTAGGTACTTAAATATGACAACACGGTTGAGTTTCACGTTTTCTGTCATTTGGCTCTATCAGTGGCATGATGTTTTTTTATAAATTGATGAATTTTATTAAAAACTAGCGTGTACCCGCGACTTCGTTCGCGTCGAATTAGTCATTTGTAATGGTGATGATAAAGCAAAGCAAGAATTTCCATTAACATACAAACTGGATAAAATTTTCTCACATTTATGTCAGCATGAGAAAAAACAATATGGCGATATTATTATATAACTTGGTAATATTTGAGGGGTAGTTTGATCTCGTTGAAATTTGACTTTCGAAAAATCCGTTTGCCAAAAATAAGCTTTTTACGTCAAGCAGTTTAGGCAGAATCGTGGTTAAGAAATTAGCCAACTTTTTTGAACACCCTGTATGATTTTTTAAGAAATTTCAAAATATGTAAAAAAACCAAATAAATTTTCTTGTCCAAGCGTTTTCCCGAAAGACTAACCGTTTTTTAAATAACAAATATTGTAATATTTGAGGGGCGTTTTCACCCTCTTGGAATTTGAGATTCGAGAAACCCCTCCTTATCGAGCATCTACGCCCCACAGTCAATCCGTTTGCCAAAAATCAGCTTTAAACGTCAAGCAGTTTAAGCAGAATCGTGATTATAGTTGAGTGTTGATTAAGAATCGTGATTACACAATGGTCATATTTTATGAAACACCTTGTATAAATTTATAAAAAATCTTAAAATATGTAAAACAACAAAATAAAATAAACGTGTTTAAGAGTTTTTCTGAAAAACTCACTGGTTTTAAATAAAAATTATTTTAATATTTGAGGGGTAGTTTCACCCCCTTAGAATTCGAGTTTAACCTCTACACCCTATGGTCAATCTGTTTTCCATAAATCAGCTTTTTACGTCAAGCGCTTTAAGCAGGATCGTGATTAATCAATGACCAGATTTTTCGAAACACCCTGTATACATTTTTTAAAAATCTTAAAATATGTAAAAAAACAAAATAAAATATACGTGTTTAAGCGTTTTTTCGGAAACTTGGCCGTTTTTTAAATAAACAATATTGTAATATTTGAGTTTGATTTGATTTGGTTGTTGAAAATCCCTTCTTATAGAACCTCTACACCCTAAAGTCAATCCGTTTTCCATAAATCAACTTTTTACGTCAAGGGCTTTAAGCAGGATCGTGATCAATCAATGACCAGATTTTTCGAAACACCCTGTATACATTTTTTAAAAATCTTAAAATATGTAAAAAAACAAAATAAAATATACGTATTTAAGCATTTTTTCGGAAACTTGGCCGTTTTTTAAATAAAAAATATTGTAATATTTGAGGGTTGGTTTCACCCTCTCGGAACTGGAATTTCGAAAAATCCCTTCTTATCGAACCTCTACACCCTAGAATCAACCTGTATGCCAAAATTGAGCTTCTTACGTTGAGTGGTTTGAGGATCGTGATTTTGATCGTGATTAATCAGTATGTCAGTCACTTAAGGATTTTATATATTAGTATAGATTGATTGGGATTGCCTCAGACCAATTTTCCATTATAACTAGTTTTGCCTGAGGTCTAACTGACGGTAACTTAAGCGCCAACGAATAAGAAAATATACGTATTTTTGTAATAATCTACTTATAACTAAAAGTATCTAAATACGCTACTGTAAGCATGGCTAAAGGTAAAAAAACGTACTGACACTTACCGTCGAATTATCAATTCCGGGTTAGATAGTGCACCTTTTTATAAACTATGCACTGGCGAACCATCGTAGATAGTTAAAAAAATACTGTAAATAGTTTTCTTTACAGTAAACACTAGTAATTACTAGAAAGTTGTTTAAAAGCTACAAAAACTTTCAACTATCATCTCGTTGAAATTTGATTTTCGAAAAATCCGTTTGCCAAAAATAAGCTTTTTACGTCAAGCAGTTTAGGCAGAATCGTGGTTAAGAAATTAGCCAACTTTTTTGAACACCCTGTATGATTTTTTAAGAAATTTCAAAATATGTAAAAAAACCAAATAAATTTTCTTGTCTAAGCGTTTTCCCGAAAGACTAACCGTTTTTTAAATAACAAATATTGTAATATTTGAGGAGCGTTTTCACCCTCTTGGAATTTGAGATTCGAGAAACCCTTCCTTATCGAACCTCTACACCCCACAGTCAATCCGTTTGCCAAAAGTCAGCTTTAAACGTCAAGCAGTTTAAGCAGAATCGTGATTATAGTTGAGGGTTGATTAAGAATCGTGATTACACAATGGTCATATTTACAAATTTAATTTATACATGGATACAAACCAAGATACGTATTAGCATAACAAAATTATAATATTTAGATTGCACAACTTGTTCAATTTTAATAGTATAATTCAAATATGTGCAAAACTTTTTTTTCAACAATCAATGGAATTCTGAATTAACCGTTTCTATTCTAGAGACCTTCAACGAAAATTATACCTATAGACCAGATATTATATACAGAGATTAATTAAAAGAAATAATTAGTTTCAGTCAAGTGTGATTAATATTTATTATAATAACATCTTTTTATTTCATAAATTTGCGCGTTTTCTCTAAAATACCTAGATTGACTTTCACCGAGCAGATGAAAAAAAAATGAGACACAGCATCATATAAATACTAAATTAATACAAACTACCTAAAAAATAAAAATACTGCATTAAAAGAGTGTTAAGCAACTAAATATTTTTTAAAATTTTGAAGAAAGTTAAATATTTTTATATTATTTCGAACGTTTGAAATTGTTTAAAAAATTATTTGTGGCGTTTGAAAAAAAATTGCATGTTCTATTCGGAGTAAAAATGACTTTTTGTGCCTCGGCTGTATGTCTGTAACCAACCCAAGCCAAACGTACAGCCTCCCCACAAGAAGTATCATTTTTCTCCTAATAAAAACAATTTACTATTATCTTCCTAAGAAATCTCTGTAATCAGTATAAAATATAAAAAAATACCTTGTAAAATAAATTATGTTTACTTTTTTTTATTATAGTATGGTTTTTGCTTGTCATAATCGTATGAAAAACTAAACGAAAGAAATAATTAAACCGGTATTAACCAGTATTAAAAGTATGAACGAACAGGTAGCAAGGGAACACCGCTCTAATTAAATTGTTCTTTGATCTTGATAAGGCCACATGCCTTATTCATAGTTTTCCTTAAATGAAGTTATTTATAACTTTTTCTCCTTGCAGTAATTGACACAAGCATTGCTAATCGCAATAAAGAAAATATATTATGATATTAATAGTTTACATAAGTATATCTATATTAGTATTATAAAATAATGTATTAAAGAACTATCTATTCTATCTTATTTAAAAAGAAATATCGTTAATTATACGAGGTCAAACAGATTCAAGCAGAGATTTTCTTAAAAGATATAATATAAAATTAGTAAGATAGTATGGATGTATTACTGTGTACAACTTCCTGAAAAAATCTCATTAGTGCTTTTTTTTCTTTAGTTAATACTGCTTTGGGAAAAATATTTTAATGTTTCTTAACATTTAACCTTGCTTCTACGTCTAGGTATTCAATATGCAATTTCGAGCTGTTGCATTTCTCAAATACAAGCATATTAAATCGTTTTTATGATCACTTTTTAAATAATACTAAAAGAAACTCTGCATTCTTGTTTCTTTGCGATGATACTTATATAAAATATAGAAAAGGTCATACTGTCTTTCTTTACTATGTATGATATTGATAGACGTTTAAGATTCCCAATTACGTAGAATTACCGAATTCTATTGTTCTCTTAATAATAATATCCTCCTTTATTGGAATGGTTAATTATACAGGGTGGTTCGAACTGTATTCCGGAAACTTCGGCAGCATATTCTGCAGATAAAAATAAGTAAAAAGTTGGTATAAATGTATGTCCTAAAATGCTTAGATTCGGAGAATACAGGGTGTGTACCATATAGATACTGTTAAGGTCAAGGTGTATTACTGGTTGCATAACCGCCACGTGCATTGAGGAACCTGGCGAATTCGACAGAAAGTAAAAGAAAATTACAGAATTCTTTAGAAAATTCCAGAAACCATCGCCAGGGGGTATATAAGGCCTGCGCTTTGACAGTTGGACCAGTCTGAAGATAGTCTGAAGTTTGATAATACCGCGAAATACCGTTAGAGTAATAGTAGTTGCATAAGTTGTGTTGTAAATAGTATAAGTTGTGTGTACAGAGTGAAACAAATAAATTCGTTAAGTATTTTATCGTGAGTTTAAATAGTGGACCCACGGAATCCGTAACAATACCATATAGATATAGAAAAATTTTTCTAATAAATATTTTCGATTGATAATTTGTTTTAGCATCAGTATCAATCATTAATCCTAAAATCTTCTAATACAGTACGCAAACTATCTAAATCCTCTCTTTGAATGCTCCGTACTTAAACGTTTGAAGATTATACAGGGTGAGTTTTCTACGATGTTCTCTATGGGGTTCTCGGAAACTACTGGATATAGAGAGTTGGTTAAATGGGGAACAAATTGCAGTTTTGTGAGATCATAAATATGCGCCTTTCAGATTTCTGAAAAAGTTCATGGCTTACTAGATATCTCGAAAAAAACAAAATTTGGCTATTTCAAAAATTATCTCTAATTCTATTATAATCTATTTTAGATAAAAAGTTTTCAGATAATAGTTGTAGATACTCACATCCTTAATGAGATTGCGTCCCCCGTTTTTTTTTCTAAAGCCTTGACATATGACACAAACATATGTTTTTTTAAATGCAAACCATAGTTGGCCATGAAATCATAAAAGCGCCGTTTTTTAAGCATTAAAGCGATATAAGCTATAATATGTTTTTTTTTTCGAAAAATTACTGAGTT